CCGTTACAAAGTGTCTGGAAATAATCTTTATTTTGCATCATTGCATTAATTGCCAACAATCTCATCGAATGTGTTAGTTTTTCAGAACCAACATTTAATATCGAAAGAGAACTATATAAACAATTTCCATCCCCAGTCGTATGTGTTAGAGCATAAACTGAATCAAATGCTTGAACAGAATATTCTGCTCTTGTTTCTAACCGCACGGATTTATCTTTATTTTTCTCAGTTATAAACGGCGATTTTTCAATTAAATCAGTGATTACTCGAGCTTGACTTGAAATTTGGTTAGCGTCAATAATATTATCAAAACCAAATGTAAAAAGAAAACGATCAAGAATTTTCCCTGAATTCGAATCAATGACTTCAAACAGCCCTGAAGAGTTTTCTTCAATTTCCATCATATTAGATGGCTCATTAACGCTGAGATCTTCTAATCGTAAAGACATATCTAAGTCGATATGTTCGTTTTCATCGACTATTTCATGATGATCGAAAGTCAATTTCTCATCTACTTCCATCGCATCAGATTGGTCATCATTTATACCATCATCAATATCAAAAGACATATTTGTACGAATGTCTTCGGTTTCATTAGAATGAACCTCAGTCAAAACTTTGTGTTTTCTCATCCATATTGGTTTATGAAAACTTGTTAGACTTTCAAAATAGTCAGATTTCAAGTCATTCACATTAGTGAAACAATAGTCGATTTGTGTTTTGGCATTAGTCGAAATTTTATTCAATTTATTAATTAAAGTGAGTCCGAATGATTCCATATATTTGGTCAATTGATGATTGGTTTTCGTCTTCAAGTCTATATTGAAATCCCCAACAACAACTATACTTTCACAAACTCGTTTAGAAATAAGAATAATTTCGTCAAAATGTCGTTTTAGGACATTGAATGATGAGTTTGGTGAATTATAAACAGAAACTATACAAATATCACCAACTTTTATTGAAGAATATTCAATATGATCTTTGCCTGAATATTCATATCTTTCGATAATAGTTTCGTATTGTAAATCATTTTTAAAATAGATCACTTGACCGAATGGTTTTCGTACATCGTGACAATCACGTCTGTGAACTATCTGAAAACCTTCAGTTTCTAAATTGTCACTAGATTTTGTCCATGTTTCAACAAGACTTATTATAGAAGAAGACAAAAGTGTTTTGTCAGATTTGACATCTAAAAAATGCTTATTCAATGATTGCACATTATGAAACACAATGAAGAATTTGTTCTCTTCAGATTCTTCAGGAAATTCAAGCGAAAATTTCAGCATTCGTTCTGGTCTCATGGTTTTGAACATCACTGCCACTGCATCATTTCGTTCAGGTGGTTTTGGTGAGACAAAGTCACCAATTAAATACAAACCACTTGATTTTGTTGCACGACTACAAGCAACATACAATTCAGATCTGGTCATTCCCTTTTTCAAATTAATAACAACCTTCTCGTAAGTACCGCCTTGGCTTTTGTATATGGTCATAGCTTCACAAGGTACTATTGGAAACTGTTTACGTTCTACTTTGAAGTTTGTTGACTTCGTATTTATCTGACGTATTACTGGTTCAACTGGTGTAAGACTAGAATCAATATTTCTATTACGCATTACATTGTGAAAATTGGCTCTAGCTTTCCGTCCAGTTTTTTCTTCGTTGAATTTAATCCATACTCGACATGGTACTGTTTCATTAGTTTTCTGAAGTTTTCCATAATCAATCATTACTAACTTTCCACAAGCACCA